TACTATATAGAGGTGCTCCCTGTTAATATCAGACCACCAGAGCCACTAAACAGTTGGAAGATATTAAACCCCTTCTATAACAACAACAGACACAGACACACGATAGCACAGATTTACACATAGATTAATACAGACCAGAAAACCCAGGCACACACATATACACACTCCGTAAATATCTGACTATATTGAGGTGTTCACTTTTAATATCAGACAATATAGCCGTCATTGTAAAATTATATAGACACACACAGACACACAAACACACATATGCATGAACAAAGAAACACATACTCGATGACAATTACGCAGACAGACACACACACAAACACACCCGCTACAAATCAAGAAACGCGATTCAACAGCCAATAAACATATCCACAGTCACTAAACTCCAGACACAGCCAATAAAAAATTCCACAGTCACTAAACTGCAGACACAGCCAACAAACAGCAGCCGCTAAACGCCTGCCAGTGAACAACAGCCTTAACGACTAAACACCACCACAGACACGAAACAACAGAGAGCAGCCAATAAACACCAGCTTCAGCCTTCAACACGAGTTGGCAGCCACTAAACACCAGATAGCTGCCACATAACACCAGTTTGCAGCCACAGATTAACAACCACAGCCAATGAACATCAGCAACAGATGCGCACACACAGAAACACAGCAACACGGGAGCACATACACAGACACACACAAATACAGATCTGCATACACACTGTTAACTTCAGACTGTATAGTGGTGCTCCCTGTTATATCAAACAACCAGAGCCACGAAACAGCGGGAAGATAATAAACACTATCTGTAACAACAACAGACACAGACACATGAAAGTAAAGATTCAAAAATGGATTCATACAGAACATAAAACACCCGAAGACTGGTATACACACACTGTAAATATCTGACTATATTGAGGTGCTCACTGTTAATATCAGACGATATAGCCGTCATTGTTAAAATCATTATATAGACACACAAACACACAGTGAGAAGCACGAACACAGAATATGAACCAAACGGTATTGTAACTCTCGCTCATTCAGTTAGTCCTGATTTCCTTAATTACAATAAATGTTGCACGAACAACAACAACTTGCATTTATATGGGTTGTTCTCTCTGTGCGCGTACAACCTGGGATAACAGTATGACTTTATTTCAGCCACAATCAGATCTAATAAGAGACTCACCGTCTTGTCTCCCCATTGACTGAGCTGCGGTTCCTGCCTTTGGTTCCCGAGCCTCTCAGTGATGTGGCTTCAATGTTCTGGGCTGTTCAGGTAATAGCACACCCTGGTCAGAGTCTGGTAGTAAATCATAGCCAAGCCATGTTCCCTTGGAGATTTCCACACAAAGCAATGGTTTATTAATTAGACACTGTTGACGCAAATCTGAAACAAACAAAATTACCTTTTTTGCTATTTGCCAAATAAACTTTAGCATGGCGATGGGTCCAGAAATTACCTGTGCAACTCAAAACTTATATCGTCTTGTACTACTTGCTTGGTGGGTCCCAACTTACTGTACACTCTTTAGTTTTTCAATCCCAATTAGAAAGTTCTATCCCTTACAGTGTCTCCTCTCTCTCATCCCAGTCAGTCCAATCCTCTGTTTACCATCACAGCTCATCTAAACCCCTCTCTCTGTTAATCTAACCGTCTCTCATAAAAGCCAGTCTAACCCTCTCTCTCCCTCCTCAAAGCCAACCAAACTCTCTATCTTTCTGATCGAAGTCAGTCTAAACCCTCTCTTCTCATAAAATCAGTCTGACCCTCTCTCTGTCCCTCCTCACAGACAGTCGAAACCACTATCTCGCTTTTGACAACCAGACTAACCTTCTCTCGTTAAAGCCAATCTAACCGTTGGTCTCTCATCACAGGCAGCGTAATCCTTCCTTAATATCATTGTAATAGAATTGGTGGATACGACCAATACCGTTGTTTAATAATCGAAAGTTTATTAAGTGAGTCACAAAAGCTCCAACTGAGACAATAGTTACAGTAAAATCCATCTTATCCGGTCCAACTGGGAAGATGTGTTCATCCCCTTATTTCGACTCTCATGTCAACTCCAAAGATTTCATAGTAACATATTTCCTTTAAGAGATCCTAACTCTGCCGACCCTGGTCACAGAGATAGCCCCCACCATTCGCAAACTGCTGGTGACTCTGAGCAGGGAAATTTCCCATAGAAAAATACACTGATCGAGAGAAAGACAGATTGGCACCTTTGGTTCTGGCGATCTTCTCCAGCCTGAGAGGTTCTCCGCCTTGAGCTCCGCAGGTGTGTGAGACTGCAGCCATTTCTCTCTGTGGTCCTTTATTCTTACATCTGTGCTCAAGGACCTGATTGCTCATTATCTCAGAGGAGTGAACTTCTCCCCAGACAGGTAAGAAATGTCATAAAAATCTTACGTCAACCGGTCCAGCAAAGCTACATATAATCTGGTCATTAAATCAAACGCAACTTATTAAACTGCTACAAGTGAGAGGTTAATTTAAAAGCCTTAAAGACGTTAAGGAATACAAATAGAATCTTACACCATATATCAAAGATTGTGCTTTTATCTTAGCGGCATAATCAAGGTAAATGTTACCAGACATTTCTGCACTGAGAGAGTTACTATTCATTCATCTGCAGAGGCCGGATGACAAGAGAGCAAAACTGAACTGAGTAAAAAAGAACATTGAGGGTATATGGGGTGAAAGATGGACGTGTTTCGTATGCGAGACATTCAAATTGTCGGGTTTACTGGAGCCTCAGTTTACTCAATAAGAGTTGGCACAAAGATTCAAAGTAAAGGTCTTTATTCAATACAAGAGCAACAGTCTCTGCATTAACCGTGACATTATATGTTCATATCAGCATACAGATTTATACAGCAAAACAATAGAAATGTATTTTACCCGCGATAACATCACACTGCGAATAGAGGAAGCCCTCCTTCCTCAAGGACTTCACTGCTCCTCCTCTTCCTCTTGTAAGGGTCACTTTCTTACTGGAGGTAAATCCCCTCACCCCATGTATATCTACTGTTCTCCTTTACGGTCCCTTGAATTGATCAGTCCGAAGTTCTGTCATCTTTGACTCACATATAACTGATATCTTAGATTTGGGAGAATCAATATCGATTCCACTGGTAAATGTGCAGACCCTCAACACAAATCCATCTCTTCCAAAATTACATTTTTTTGGTGTGTATCTACCTCCACCTCCCGTTATCACAGAGGAAGGCCCCACCCTTCATACGCTGCTTTACACAGCGAGAGAGAGAGAGAGATGGACAACTTCTGAGCAGCCTTTCCCGATCTGCTTGTTTCTCATACTTCAGTTCGGCAGATGTCTGAAGCTCAGCCTTTAATTTCTGTGGTCCAATTATCTTACATCTGTGCTGAAGGATCTAATTGCTCTTTATCTCAGAGGTGTGAACTTCTTTGCTGCAAAATATGGAATGTGTTAGGAAGCTGACCTCGATCAGTCCAGCAAAGCTCTGCATAACCCCAAGGGGCAAGGAAAGGGGCGCTGTAAATTGGGTAGTTGTATGAAAGTTTAGAGGGATTGCGGGTGGGTATTTGGAGGAGGGGTTGGTAACAGCAATGTTCTATATCAAGGTCAAGTTATGTGTCTCTTAATAACCCGCATGTTATCTGCATCACATTGAAAAGGTACAATAGAGAATAAGGCGATACTAGTTAATAGAGCAAAGTTACCGCAAGTTCCCAGCGGTCGGACCTTCAGCCATTCTGCCCCACTCGCTGGTACTCTATCCCACAGTCCCTCTGCCTCGCCCTCTCCATTGGCTTCTTGAAGACCCATCTCAAAACCCTCCACTTCGACCATGGTTTTGGTCGCCCTCCTTTCCCCCCTCCCCAATCCCAACCCACAGCTCAGGTCTGACTGCCCAGTGCCTTGGGACATCCTCCCGATGTGAAAGCTGCTGTACAAATGTGATGTTATTCTTGTTCTAACCTTGAGATGTTTAGGTTTTCACCGGTTGCCTTCTTCCTCAGAAGCCGACAATACAAACGAGATTGTCATGAACTGTCTCCTCGAGGAATTTGTCCTCATATTGACGTTGAGGTGAAACGTAAAAGCCACAGTAAACCCGCGATTCGATGCCATTCCAGCGCTTGGCTCTCAGTGTCAGAGAACGCAGACAATTCATTGAAGGATACTCTGTGAAGACGCGATAAGGCGCTGTACCAAATGCAAGAATTAATATTATTATTGTATTAAATAAATCATATAAAATGCTATGATCTGGAACGATGCAACTTCTGTCATGGTTTAACAGTGTAATGTTGAGGTGTTGCTGGATGGCTATTTGATGTCTGTTGGATCAGAATGGAATCTTTTCTAATCCAAAGCGTCCACATCTATTCATTTATTTCCAATGGTGAACATTAGTGCCCTTATGGTTTCCGGGGGTGTTATTTGTTGGCAGCGATATAATCGGTGGAGTCCTGTAGCGGAAGCAGTTAGTGCAAAACACTAGTAATTTGAGCGATAACACTAATAATATTTGCATTTGTTGTGGCGCCTCATCACATCTTAAAGCGCAACACAGGATATAGTGTAAAGTGAACTCACTGTGTGTATTGTGGGCAATATATTTGGGTGAGGCCCCAATGTCTGGGCTCTCTGTGGATCAAGTGCGTGGATGACTGTAGTGACGGGATCCGCCTTTGTCATTCGGGTACAAAATTCCAGAATTGTTTGTGTGTGTTATTCATTGGCGTCGGGAGGCCTCAGTGTGAGGTTTAAACGGTCGATGGGTTCAGTCGCCTCTGTCGGTCGGTTGTCTCTCACTCTCTCTCTCTGTGTCTCTCGTCGCCTGACTTTGGCGCCTCTTTTTCCCTCTGACTCGGCGCCTGCGCAGTGGTGTCCCCGAGCGCGAGGCCGACGGTTTTATTTGAACTCGGCGCCTGCGCAGTGCCGTCTCCGGGCGCGAGGCCGACGGTTTTTTTTTGAACTCGGCGCCTGCGCAGTGCCGTCTCCGGGCGCGGGGCTGCCGGTGTTTCGGGGCGCGGCGCCTGTCTGTCTGAGCGCGAGGCGGGACCGCGGGAGGTGGTGATGGCGGCGGAGACGACGGTCAGTGTCGGTGACAGAGAAAGAGAGAGTGTGTGAGAGAGAGAATGTGAAACTGAGAGAGAGAGTGAGATTGTGAGAGAGTGAGAGAGAAAGAGTGTGAGAGAGAAAGTGTGAGTGAGTGTGAGAGAGAGTGAGACAGAGTGTCAGAGAATGAGAGTGAGTGAGTGAGAGTGAGTGAGAGTGTGAGAGAGAGAGAGACTGTGTGAGAGAATGAGAGTGTGACAGAGAGAGAGACTGTGTGAGAGAGTCAGTGTGTGAGAGAGAGTGTGAGAGACAGAGACTGAAAGAGTGAGAGTGTGACAGAGAGAGACTGTGTGAGACTGAGTGTGTGAGAGTGTGTGTGAGAGTGAGTGTGTGAGAGAGAGTGTGTGTGAGAGACTGTGTGAGTGAGTGAGAGTATGAGAGAGAGAGAGTGAGAGTGTGAGAGAGAGACTGTGAGAGACTGAGAGTGTGTGAGAGAGACTGTGAGAGTGAGAGAGACTGTGAGAGAGTAAGTGTGAGAAAGTGTATGAGAGTGAGAGAGAGAGAGTGTGTGAGAGATAGAGAGACAGAGAGAGTGAGAGAGTGGAAGTGTTTGTTTCTGTGTATAATATTATTAAGTTTTATGGTCCGAACTGATATGACTTCTGTGATGATGTATTGAGGAACATTGAGCGGTTTCGTGGCGGATGATATTCCCGTCTCATTTGCTGTTGTACACTGTGGGATCAGACGGGACCTTCATTCCAGGCCGAGGGGAGAGAGGGACTGAAGCTCCAACAACATTCTTCCACATTTATTCATTCATTTCTAATTCGGGGTATTATTTTTCTCGTGTTGCCTGGTTCGGTGTCAGGGTTTGTTTGTGTGTGTGTGTGTGTGTGTGTGGGTTCAATGTGTGTGAGAGCGAATGTGGGAGAGAGGGTGAGAGACTGACAGTGAGAGTGTGTGTCAGTCTGTGTGTTTGTCTGTATTTGTGTGATAGACTGACTCTGTGTGTGTGTGTGTGTGTGTCAGTCTCTGTGTGTGTGTGTCAGTCTCTGTGTGTGTGCGTATGTCAGTCTGTGTGTGTGTATGTGTCTTAGTGTGTCTGTGTGTGTCCGTGTATGTGTATGTCTGTTTGTGTGTGTGTTTCAGGCTCAGTGTGTGTGAGAGAGAGTGACAGAGAGTGAGAGTATGTGTTTGTGTGTCTATGTCTCTCTCTTTCTCTCTCTCTGTCACCGACACTGACCGTCGTCTCCGCCGCCATCACCACCTCCCGCGGTCCCGCCTCGCGCTCAGACAGACAGGCGCCGCGCCCCGAAACACCGTCAGCCCCGCGCCCGGAGACGGCACTGCGCAGGCGCCGAGTTCAAAAAAATACCGTCGGCCTCGCGCTCAGGGACACCACTGCGCAGGCGCCGAGTCAGAGGGAAAAAGGCGCCAAAGTCAGGCGACGAGAGACACAGAGAGAGAGTCAGACAACAGTGCGGCCATGTCACCCCCCACCCCCCAGTCACCCCCACACCCCAGTCTCCCCCCACCCCCAGTAACCCCCACCCCCCAGTCACCCCGCCTCCCCCCCAGTCACACACACAGACAGTGAGGAGCCAATGTCAACACCTGGTCACCAGACACACAGACACAGGGACACAGAAAGAGAGAGAAAGACCGACAGACATTGGCGAATTTAAACAGTTTACTCCTCACACTGAGGCCTCCCGTCGCCGAGGAGTAAACCCCACAAACAAATCAGGAATGTTTTACCCCAAAAAGATAAAGTTTAATTCCCTCATTAATTCCGAAGAGAAGGAAAGACGAGACAGGAAGGGGTTTGTGTGTGTGAGTGACGCCGCGGCTTCTCTGTCAGGACGTCGGTGAAGTGAAACCTCCGGACAGAGACTCGAAGCTTTTCTGACCCGATGACCGGACGCGGTGAAGACCTTCGTGTTGGACCGTGACCTGCGGTCACCTCACCCCTCGGCTCGGCCTCGAGCGCCGCCACTGTCCAGCGCTCTGGGACCCTCCCCTTCACCAGCGGCGCCATATAAAGGCAAGTTGTTGTTGTTGGTACAGACACAGTATTAATACAGAATGGTTTAGTTTGACACAGTAGCCGTTGTCCCCACCGCAGGGCGAGGAGACGGGCAAACTGTGCAGTGTAATGTTTTATCCGAGGCTCCAGGAAAACAGTACATTGACACTGTACGAAAGGCTGATCCCGTCACTACAGTCATCCAAACAGGTCACTGGGGCCACAAACAGCCCAGACATTTGGGCGTCACCCAAATATATTGCCCACAAAACATACAGTCAGTTCTCTTCACAATATATCCTGTGAAGCGCTTTCAGGCGTCTCGGGTACGCGATGAGACGCCGTATCAAATGCGCGGCTTATTACTGAATTTATTATTAAATGACGAATTACTAACTGATATGCTACAGGACTCCACCGATTAAATCACTCCACAAAAATAACATCCCCGCAAACCATAAGGAAACTAATATTCAAAATTGTAAATAAATGAATAGAAGAGTTTTGTTGGATTCTTTAGGCACTCTACGCCTTTGGCCAAGTAAAAGATTCAGCCCTTTCCAGGTATCCAACAGACAAATGAATATTAGCAATCCCGAAACCTCCAAATGTACCACAATAAATCATCAGAGAAGCATATCCGTCTGGACCCAAACATTGAATATGACTTATGTGAATATAATAATAATAATTCTTGTATTAATGGAGTTCAGGTCCTCCAGCATGTGAGGCGAGAGCTTTAACCGCTGAGCTGCAGGACTCCGCGTGAAGTCCGAATTGCAGGCAAATTGTACAAATTGTGAAAAAGTAGATTTAATAAACATGTGCAATTTAGTACAGCCAGAAAATGTCAGGAACGGATTAAGACTACAGTTTCCCCGATTTAATGTGTCTTGATCCATAACCACATGCGCACAGAGAGCCAAGCGCTGGAATGACATTGAATCGCGGGTTTATTGTGGCTTCTGGATTTCACATCACTCTCAACGTGAAGGACAAATATATTGTGGAAACTGTTCATGACAATCCCGTTGGTTTGACAGCTTTTGAGGAAGAAAGAAACAGCGACAACCTGAACATCTCAAGGTTAGCCTTTACAACAACAGCAATAACAAAACTACACGAGTCTTTTTGGAGTCCTGTAGCTCAGTGATTAGAGCACTCGCTTTGCAAGCGAGAGATCTGAGTTCAATTCCAGGCACAGGGCGAAACCTTGGGCAAGTTTCCTTACTCCACACAGAGCCTAATAATAATCCCTCCAAAGCCAAAAACAATAATAAATTGCTCATTTTCAATCTTCGACTGTTTGTGGGACATTACTGTGCGCTTTGGGACGTCCTCCCGACGTGGAAAGCGCTGTGTCAAATGCAAGGATTATTATTATTATTAGTGCCTTTCACTTCGGGAAGGGACTGGATGGTTAGTGTTTCTGAACCGAGCGCGGGGTCCGGATTGGGGCGGGAGGAAGGTATGGCGGGGTAGTGGAAGGCAGGTGATCGAAACTACTGTTGAAGTGGAGGGTCCTGAGTTGCGTGTTGAAGAAGCCAATGGAGGGAGTGAGTCAGTGGGACTACGGAAAGGAGTTCCAAATGATGGGGACAGAGTGGCTGAAGGCCCACCCACCAGGTACATCTGGAAACTTTGCGGTTTAGCTCGTACCTTTTTATTCTCTGTTGTACATATTCATTATGATGCAGATAACATGCAGATTATTAAAAAAAACATACCTTGTCCTTGATATAGCACTTTGATTTTATCAACCCCCTCCTCAAACCACCCCCCAGCCCCTCAATCGCTCTAACCCCTAATACAACTATCCCATTTCTATCCTAGTATTTCCAATCTGCCCCTCCTTGTCAAACGCATTGTGGCAGGTCAACTTTGGTCTCATCTCTCTCGCCACTTGCTCCTCGAGCCCCTGCTGTCTGGTTTTCGTCCTGACTGCGCACAGCACAGAGATGACGCTGGTCAAAGTCACAAACAATGTTCTCTCTATTTGCGATCAGGATTCCCCCTGCCTCCTCGTCCTCCTGGATCTCTTTACCGTGTTCGACAAGGATGACCATTTAATCTTCCTCTACCACCTCCTCCTCCCTCATCCACCTCAGTGGGACAGTACTCGCATGGTTTGAACCCTACTTAACAAAGAGCCCCGACTTCATCTTGGCCAACGTTTGCTCCTCCTGCCCCCGCCTGATAACCTGTGGGTACCCCAGGTCTACATTCTTGGCCCTCTTCTTTTCCTCATCTATATGCTCCCTCTGGGCTATGTCATCCGCAGATATGGAGTAAACGTCCACATATATACTGATGGTACACAAATCTACTTTGTCTTCTCCAGTATCGACTGCAGGTCCACGAATGTTCCATCATCTTGACTGGCAGACATTGGGGCCTGGATGAGGGCAAACTTCCTGCAGCTGAATATGGACAAGATGGAAGCCATACTCTTTGGCTCCCGTCAACGTATTCACTCCTGCGGATCTGAGCTCCTCAAACTCCATGGGCTCTCCCTCAGACTCACTGAACCTGTGCACAATCTTGGTGTCTGGTTTGACCCCCAGCTCTGTAAAGTTATATTTATGATGTTTATATCAATGCTAATTGCTGTCGTTATTTGAACTGATCACCTTAGTATGGTTTAATGCATAAATGGTCTCCAAAATCCATAGGGGAAACTTGATTTATCTGAACTACTGTTTACACAGAGATGTGGAGTATAAGCAACAGCCTGGCAGTTGGGCCGAATAGCCTGTATTTTCTAACCATCTATGAATCTAAGAGCCACAGCTTGTCTAATCCTTGTTCATATTTATTTCCTCTAACACTGGTGATCATCCTGGTCGCTCTCCTCTTCACTGCGTTAAGGATCTGTGCTGACTCTTTAGTTATTCTTTGCCTCAATCCTTCCATCTTGCGGTTTTGGCTGGTTAGACTCCAGCCTGGGTGATTCTCCCTAGATTATCTAACGATAGTTTACAACTTATCCCTCCAACTCGAGAGATCGGTCTGCTCCGAATATGGTGACACTATAGAGAAGATGGCATATTTCTGAATGGTTTTCACTTTCTTTTACGCTGTAGGAAATAAGACTAAATTATGTTGCAGTCTACAATCTAACGGACTGAATGCCGCCATTTTCTTTCTCTTTCCCGACAAGTGGAAATGATTTTTGATAAATTGGTGCTCATGTTGTTGACTATCTTCCTGGTCCCAAGTCCGAAGCCCAATCCACAGTTACATTAACTGAAATTATCCATAAAAGGCAACATTGCATATTGTTGTAACGTTTCGCTGACTGTTACACAAATGAGGTTCAAAGATCAGGATTAGGAGATTAGATAGAGAACGCAGTGGATGCTCTAAATTGGGCGGGTTGTTAAAATGAATCAAAGGTGAATTTGAAGTTGGAGGTGGCAAAGTCACACTGGTGTTGGTCTGATGATGGGTGGGAAAACAGATTCCCACCTACTCTTGCTCTATAGCAGATTGTACAGTTTCTGGAGACGAGCTTTATTGATGACACTCTATGAAATGGATAATGACCGGAACTCGTCAATCATCTTCTTGTTGTATTAACATAGACAACAACAAATGTCTTATATCGTGCAATGCATGCAGCATATAATCACAGAAACCTTGCGCCTGAGAAATGAGAGTCAGTCCGATTTACAGAAATGAGGGAGAGTGTGTTAGAGATAGGATGGGCATGAGAGAAAGAAACAGATTCAGCGAGCGAGAGATGGAGAAAGCAGTGAATGACTGAGTGAGTGAGATTGTGAGATGGATTTTGTGTGAGGAGCAGTGAGGGAGAAGGTTTGTGAGAGAATGAGAGAAGAGAGTGTGTGTGGGTCAGAGTGTGAGTAAGAAATGAGAGAGACAGTGGAGGGAGAGGGGTGGATGGATATGGAATAAAGAGAGAGATAGAGTGAGTGTGGGTGAGAGAATGAAACAGAAGTTTAGGGAGTGGGAGAAATCAAAGAGGTGAGAGAGAAGCAACCAGTGAGTGTTTGACAGAGGGGGAGACAGATTGATTGTTACAGAGACTGATAGAAGCGAAACAGAGTGGGAGAGTGTGAGTGAGAAAAGAGGGCGAGAGTGATTGACAGAAATGGTGGATGGAGTGAAAGAGAAAGACGGGCTGTGGCGAGAGTAAGAAACCGAGACAGAGAGAAAGCAGAGACAGAGAGTGAAAGGGAATGATTGAGCGTGTGGGTGGAGAAAGTGTTTGCGAAAGAGGAGAGTGAAGAGGGGGGTGTGAGTGACAGAAAGGGGAGATAGAGAGAGTGTGAGAGGGGAAAGAGAGTGCGAGAGCGGTGATGTTGTTTGTGAGAAAGGGTGTGTGAGAGGGTAACTGAGAGAGGGAAGGAATGTGTGAGAGAAACAAAGGGAGAGAGGGCAGAGACTGATTGAGAGAGTGATACAGACAGAGTGTGAGTTGAAAGAGTGAAAATGAGCGAGAAAATCCACAACATTTAACACAATATTAAAAACATTGGCATTTCCAATAAGGTTATTTCTTCCTTTCCCATTTAGTTTTTCGAGAAATCCCTGAAGCCAAACTTTTGTACCACACCCACAAACAAAGAGCCATAGAGATGTACAGCGCAGACGAAGATTATTCAGCTTATAGTGGATGTGGTGGCACTTTTTGATAACAATTCTTTCAGTCCCGTTTCCCTGCTCTGTTCCCAAATTCATTTTTAGATAGTCTACGCCATTCATATCGATATGTAGACATGTTTTGAAAACCAATATGGATTCTGCCTCAACACCATTCCCGCCAGCGCTTTCCATAACCCAACAACCAAATGTGTAGGACAACATATTCTCCAAACCTGCTCATTTACTAGTTTGCTAACTCTCTATCTTAAATTGATGCTTTAAGAACTGAACCTCGACCAGTGGAACTTTTATAGCAGGTAAAGATTGAGTTTCTGTGGAAATCTCCTAGGGAACAGGGCGAGGCTATGATTTACTGCCAGACATTAGCTGCTGGACTCTGACCAGTGTGTGTTATTACCTGTACAGCTCAGAACACTGAAGCCACATCACGAAGAGGCTCGGAAACCAGAGGCAGGAACCGCAGCTCAGTCAGTGGGGAGACAAGACGGTGAGTCTCTCATTAGCTCTGATTGTGGCTGAAACAAAACAGTAAAGTTACACCAGGTTTTAAGCACTTGGAATGAGAGGATAGAAGAAATAGAGTGCGCGTGAGAATTGAGAGGGAGAGGTTGGAGGGAAGAATGGTTGACAGGAATAGGGAGAGAATGAGAGAGAGAGAGAGAAAGAGAGAGAGAGAGTGTAGATGAGTGAAAGAAACAGAGACAGGAAGAGAGGGAGGGGGGGAAAAAACAGAGTGTGAGTGAGAGATCGATAGTGTGAGAAGGAGTGTGTGTGTGTTAGAGGGGGAGACAGAGTGCGGTAGAGAGACGATGGGGTGACAGAAAGAAACAGAGACCGGGAGGGAAAGAAGGAATAAGCAAAGCGGTGAGAGATTGGCAGTGAGTGACTGCACGACGGAGGCGAAGAGATACCTATTGAGTGAGAGAGTGTGTGTGAGAATGTGAGTGAAATGTGAGTGGCAAAGTGAATGACAGAAAGGAGGTGAGAGGGAGAGAGGTGGTGAGAAAGAAACAGAGATATGGAGACAGAGAGTGAAAGAAAGTGAATAAGATTGTGGGAGGAGAGAGTGTTTGTGAAAGAGAGGAGGGAGAAAAGGAGGAGTGAGTTATCGAGAGAGCGTAGACGGAGAGACCTTGAGAGGGGAAAGGAAGTATGAGTGGAGGGAGGGCTGGTGTGGGAGAAGAGTGGGATAGAGAGAGAGGAACTGAGAGAACGAAAGAGTGTCGGTAAGACAGAGAGAGAGGGGGAGCCAATGACTGAGAGAGGACAGAGAGAGAGTGTGTGAGAAGAAAAAGAGAAAATGAGAGAAAAATTTCACAACATTGAACAAAATATAAAACCGGGCATATCCAATATGCTTTTTCCTTCCTTTACTGATCAGTTTTACATTGCTCTTTTCCCAAATCCCTTTTTAGATAGTTGACTCCATTTAGATCGGTTTCAAGTGATTATCTGAAAACCAATCTGGAATCTGCCTCAAACATCATTCCCGCCAATGCTTTCCATCACCCAACAACCAACTGTGCAGGAAAACAAATTCTCCAAACGTCCCAATTTGCCAGTTTGCTAACTCTCTGAAATTGATGCTTTAGGGATTGAACTCTGACCAGAAGGACTTTTATATCAGGTAATCTTGAGTTTCTGTAGAAATCTCCAAGGGAACAGGGTTTGGCTATGATTTACTGCCAGACATTAGCTGTTGGACTCTGACCAGTGTTTGTTGTTACCTGTACAGCCCAGAATACTGAAGCCACTTCACTAGAGGCTCGGGAACCAAAGGCAGGAACGGCAGCTCAGTCAGTGGGGAGACTAGACGGTGAGTCTCTTATTAGATCTGATTGTGGCTGAAATAATGTCATACTATTATCCCAGGTTGTAAGCGCACAGAGAGAAAAACCCATATAAATGCAAGTTGTTGTTGCTCGTGCAACATTTATTGTAATTAAGGAAACCATGAGTAACTGAATGAGCAAGAGTTAAAATATCATTTGTTTCATAAACGGAAGATCTCGCTTTACGACTGTGCTTACGGTCATCCTCCTTCACACATAGTATCCTCCACCACTCCAACATTCTCCGACACACTGTCCGGCGAGTTGGCCGCTATATCAATGCAAGTTGTTGCTGTTATTTGAATTAATCATCGTAGAATGTTTTAAGAAATAAATGGTCTCCGAAATCCATTGGGGAACTTGATTGATCTGAACCATTGTTAACATACTAATGTGGAATTTAAGCAACAGCCACGTGGTCGGACCAAAACTGAGCTGTACTTTCTATGCATCTATGTTGTTGATCGGGTTTCGGTGGGACAGACACTCGGCTGACAAAAAAATTTCAGCTCAGATACCACACTGCTGCTTACATGCTCCAAGCTGCAACCCACTAGAAGGGCACTCTATAGTTGTTGTTGCCATTGTTTTTATTTCCTCCTCTGAGACGTCTCTTTTGTTTGGCGCTGTTTGTCCTACAATAGTTTAAAATTCATCCCTCCAATTTAAGAGATCAGTCTTCTCCGAATATGGAGACGCTGTAGAGGAGCTGGGGTATTGATGAATGGTTCTCACTTTCTTTTACCTTGTAGGAAATAAGACTAAAGTATGTTTCAGTCTGCAATGAAACGGACTGAATGCCGCCATTTTCTTTCTCTTTCTCCGGAAGTGGAAATGATTTTTGACAAAATGGTGCTCAAGTTGTTGACTTTCAAGGACTATCTTCTCGGTCCCACGTCCGGAGCCCAACCCACAGTTACATTAACTGGAAATATCCATAAAAGGCAACATTGCATATTGGCAATGATAACGTTTCACTGACTGTTACACAAGTGAGGTTCAAAGATCAGGATCAGGAGATTAGATAGAGAGCCCAGTGAATGCTCTGAATTGGGCGGGTTGTTAAAATGAATCTAAGGTAAGTTTGAAGTGGGAAGTGGCAAAGTCACGTTGGTGTTAGTCTGATGATGGATGTGAAAATAGATTCCCAACTATTGCTCTGCAGCAGACTGTAGAGTTTCTGGAGACGAGCTTTATTGGTGACACTCTCTCAAATGGATAATTACCAGAACTCGTCACTCATCTTCTTGTTGTATTAACTTACGCAACAACAAATGCTTTACATAGTGCAAATGGTGCAGCGTATAATCACAGAGAAATTGACAGAATGTGAAAGAGGAGTGAATCGAGATAAATTGAGAAAGAAGAACAGAATAGAGGAGAGAGGGAGAGTGTGCTTCAGAAATGAGACAGTCCGATTTACAGAAATGGCGGAGCGTGTGTTGGAGAAAGGATGGGCATGCGAGAAAGAAACAGATTCAGGGAGAGAGCGATTGAGAAAGCAGTGAGTGACTGAGTGAGTGAGATTGTGAGACGGAGTGTGTGTGAGAGTGGTGGAGAGGGGCACTGATGGAGAATGATTGTGAGAGAATGAGAGAAGAGAGTGTGTGTGGGTAAGAGAGTGAGTAAGAAATGAGAGAGACAGTGTGGGGAGAGGGGTGGATGGACATGGAGTAAAGAGAGAGATAGAGTGAGTGTGTAGTGAGATAATGAAACAGAGAAGTTTAGGGAACGGAAGAAAGAAAGAGGTGATAGAGTGAGTGTTTAACAGCGGGGGAGACAGATTGATTGATACTCAGACTGATAGAAGAAAGACAGAGTGTGAGAGTGATTGATAGAAAGGGTGGATGGAGTGAAAGAGAAGGACGAGCTGGGGAGGGTGGGGCGAGAGTAAGAGACAGAGAGGGAGAAAGCAGAGAGAGAGTGAAAGGGAATGATTGAGAGTGTGGGAGGAGAAAGTTTTTGCGAAAGAGGAGAGTGAAGAGGGGGAGTGAGTGACAGAGAGATGGGAGATAGAGAGAGTGTGAGAGGGGAAAGAGACTGAGAGAGGGATGATGTCGTGTGGGGAGAACGGGTGTGTGTGAGAGAGAGTAACTGAGGGAGGGAGGCAACGTGTGAGAGAAACAAAGGGAGAGGGGGAATAGAGTGATTGAGAGAGTGATACAGAGAGAGTGTGAGGGGAAAGAGAGAAAATGAGCGACAAAATCCACAACATTTACCACAATATTAAAAAAATTGGCATCTCCAATAAGTTTATTTCTTCCTTTCCCATTCGGTATTTTGAAAATCCCTGAAGCCAAACTTTTGTTCCACACCCACAAACAAAGAACCATAGAGATGTACAGCACAGACGAAGATTATTCAGCTTATGGTGGATGTGATGGCACTTTTTGATAACAATCCTTTCAGTCCCATTTCCTTGCTCTGTTCCCAAATGCATTTGTAGATAGTTCATTCCTTTTAGATCTATATCTGGATATGTTTTGAAAGCCAATATAGATTCTGCCTCAAACACCATTCCCGCCAGGGTTTCCATAACCCAACAACCAAATGTGCAGGACAACATAGTCTCCAAACCTCCTCATTTGCTAACTTGCTATCTCTCTATCTTAAATTGATGCTTTAAGAACTGAACCCCGACCAGTGGAACTTTTATAGCAGGTAAACATTAAGTTTCTCTGGCAATCTCCAAGGGAACAGGGCGAGGCTATGATTTACTGCCAGGCATTAGCTGTGGACTCTGACCAGGGTGTGTTATGACCTGTACAGCCCAGAACACTGAAACCACATCACTGAGAGGCTCGGGAACCAGAGGCAGGAACCGGAGCTCAGTCAACGGGGAGACAAGACTGTGAGTCTCTCATTTGCTCTGATTGTGACTGAAATAAGGCAGTAAAGTTACTTCAGGTTTTTAGCACTTGGAATGATAGGAGAAGGAGAGATAAACTGCGCGAGAAATGAATGGGAGTCAGAGGGTTGGAGGGTACAGTGGTTGACAGAAATGGGGGAGAGAGTGACAGAAAGGGCGTGGGTGAGTGAATGAAACAGAGACCGGGAGAGAGCGAGAGAGAGACAGCAGACTGTGAGTGCATGGTTGAGAGTGTGGGAAAGAGTGTGTGTGTGTTTGGAGAGGCGTAGAGAGCAAATGGTGGAGAGAGGATATGTTGAGAGAAACAAGCAGAGACAGGGAGGGAGAAAAGGGAGGAAGCAGATCAGTGAGAGAGTGGCAGTGAGTGACTTTATGGCAGAGGGGGAGAGAAATGTGTTAAGAGTGAGAGTGTGGGTAAGAATGTGAGTGGAAAAGTGATTGACGGAAAGGGGTGAGAGAGTGAGAGAGAGTTGAAGTGGTGAGAGAAAGAAAGAGAGACAGTGAGAAAGCAGAGACACAGAGTGAAAGAAAGTGACTGAGATTGTGGGAGGTGAGAGTGTGAAGGAGAGGGGCGAGTGAGTGATCGAGAGAGTGGAGATAGAGAGTCTGTGAGAGGGTAAAGAGAGTGTGAGTGGAGGGATAGGCGTGTGTGAGAGAAGGGGATAGAGCGGGAGAGAGAGAAAGAGGAATTGAGACAGCGAAAGAGTGTCTGTGAGACAGAGCGAGAAGGGGGAGCCAATGATTGAGAGAGGACAGAGAGAAAGTGTGAAAGAGGGAAAGTGAGAAAGAAGGAAAAGAGGAAATCAGAGAGAAAATCTACAATATTTAACACAACATAAGAAACGAATGTCCCCAATATGTTTTTTTTTGGACCTTTCCCGATTAGTTTTTCGAAAAATTCCAGAAGCCAACGTTTTATATCACCCCCACAAACAAACAACCATAGAGATGTACAGCACAGAAGAAGGTTATTCGGTTTATGGTCACATTGGTAGCACTTTTTATAACAATCCTTTCCGTCCCATTTTTCCTGCTCTGTTCGCAAATCGCTCTTTAGATAGGTCACTCCTTTCAGATCGAGATCGAGACATATTTTGAAAGCAAACATGGATTCTGCCTCAAACTTCCCTCCCATCAGGGCTTTCCATAACCAAACAACCAGCTGTGCAGGAAAAAAAAATCACCAAACCTCCCTATATGCCAGTTTGTTAACGATCTTAAATTGGTGCTTAGGCACTTAATCTCGAACAGTGGAACGTTTATAGCTGATAAGCATTTATTTTCTGTGGAAATCTCCTTGGGAACAGGGCGAGGCTGTGATTTACTGCCAGACATTAGCTGCTGGACTCTGACCAGGTGTGTTATTACCTGTACAGCCCAGAACACTGAAGCTCATCACTGAGAGGCTCGGGAACCAGAGGCAGGAACCGGAGCTCAGTCAGCGGGGAGACAAGACGGTGAGTCTCTCATTTGCTCTGATTGTGGCTGAAATAAAGCAGGAAAGTTATTGCAGGTTTTAAACGCAGGGAGATGCCACTCCATGCGAACAGCGCAAGATAAATGCAACTTGCTGTTTTGTAGTTAGTGAAAGTTTACTTATATGAAATAAACGCGGAGCCAGTGATCGTGGAATCATTTAAATTTAATTTGCTTAATTAGTTTAACTAACCATCGTGACATCGTTTAAGGGAGAAATGTTCTTTTACATCTACTCATAAATTTGATTGACCCGAAATATTGTTGATCAACGATGGGCCCTCGTGTGGAATATTAGCACCAGCCAGACTGCACGGGCTGAATGGCTTTTTGCTGAGCTTGTTTAATCCTGGCTGGTAGACGGTTCTTCTAAAACTAGCCATGATCCTGCTTGTTTTCCTCTACACTGCCTTAAGGAGCTGGGCAGACACTTTTGACAGCCATTACCTCAATCGTTCCATCCTGCTCTTTGTGGAGTTAGACTCCAGCTATTAACCCAAAGCACATTCTGGGCTCTCACAAACCTTGGCTCTTGCCAATCTGTGCCGAGCACTTTCCAGCAGTAGTTAAGAAGGATAGACACTCCATAGAGAGGTTGGTCATTCCATCTACAATCGATCGCTGTAGTGTCCACGTATAGGTGGGGTGCATGGACATCTCAACTTTATTTGGATACTGTTTGGTTTGGTGATGGGTGGTGTTAGACCCTCAGCTGACAAAAGTAATACTCAATACAGCAACTACACTACTGTTTAAGTGCTCTAAGATGCCAAAAACGTGAAGGAGCCTATATTGTTGTTCTTGATATTGTTTTGTTGACTTCTCTGAGATGTCCCTTGTTATGGCTGAAGCTCCACAGAATATCTCATTTTGTTTAAAATTCATCCCTGTAACTCAGAGTTTCAGTCTATTGTGGATCTGGAGATGGTGAAGAGAACCTGGACCTTTCTGAATATTGCTCACTAGCTTTCACTATGTGGGAAATCAGACTTAATGCTCAATCGTAATCTTCCCGACTGAATTGCCTCCATTTTCTTTGTCATTCCCCACAACTAGATATGATTTTGTTAAGATGGCTCTCATGTTATTGACTTTTAAAGAGTTGAGTGTAGCTCGCCTGATCTTATTGGTCCAAAGTCTAGAGTCCAACACCCAGTTATATTACCCGAAAATATCCATAAAAGGCAGCATTGCCTGTTTGCATTGATAATGTTTCACTGACTGTTACATAAATGAGGGTTCAAAGAGCACGAACAGGAGATTGAAGCACTGAACACAGTGGAATTAGGCAGTAAACTCAAGTACATCAAAGGGAAGGTTGAAGTTGCAGATGGTACTCGCACCGGTACTCGTGTTAGTCTGATGATGTGTAGGAAGCCGAGTGATTGGGGAATAGAAATAGATACAACACCAATTTGCATTTATATTGCACCCTTCTCGCAGGGTCAGTATCCCAGAGCGCTTCAAACATAACGGGCTATAACAGATATATATTGTAAGAGGAACTGTGTAGGCTGGAGTGAATTGTTTTATTGCTCACATGAAAAGATTAATAAAGAAATGCAGCACTACCTGCACATGACAGCCTGGCTCAGTGCTTGCACTCTCTTACCTGTGTCAGAAGGGTGGGTTTACCCACAAGTCTGGACATGAAATAACACGGTCTAAGATGAGAATCCAATGCAGTGCTTGGGGTATTTTTCATTATCAGAGGTGCAATGCCAAAGGAGTAGAGTTTCAGAACAGGGAAAGAGGAGATGGAGCTTGGCCACTGATGTTCGAGAGCATCAGGCATGGGACCAAAAGTACACATGAGCCAGAATGGAGAGAGCAGCTGGGGCAGTGGCTTTGTAAAATGTCAAAGAGATAGAATGGGCGATCCTTGCAGAGATGTAAACAAGGGGACACGGATCTGAATTGAATCTGAAAGAGAAGCTTTCTAAACAGTGTTCTGAAGGCAAGCCACACATTTTGAGCTGGGTAAACTCCATCAGTGTCCCCTATACATAACCATACCCAATGAGGTCCCCACGCTTCCACTCTTGCCAATTTGTGTCTAATACTTTCAGGGATAAGGTTAAAAGTAGATATACCTCTGGGCCATTCCATTCTAAGCAAAGCGTGTTTGATGTGTTGGTGGGTGGAAGCAGTCTCAGTCTGGTTTGGATATCCTTAATCACCGTGATGGCTTTGTACATGTGCTAGACACCCGACAACCAAGTTACATACTACAGGATCAAGTGAAGCGAGAGGATGATGGTAATACGATACTAAATCTCATCTGATGTGTTTGTGTGGAGGAAGGAGAAGAAGCTGTTAGAGTACACAAAATGCAGAGTGGGGGGGGGTATTGCATGCACAAGTACAAGTGACGAGGAATTGAGGCGGACTCAACAGCAGAAAGAGTAAGTGTGAAATGGATTGAGAGAGAGAAAGAGAGAGAGGACCATAGTTAGGGGCATGGGAACTGTAGGCAATGGTGGTGTGGAGTGGGATATCCAGGTTCAACATGTGATATCCTGGCTGGTGAAGTATGTGCGTGTGTTAGTTTGTCAGTGTTGGTGTCATGGGGCTGAGTTGAAGGGTGTGTGTGTGTAGGTGTTGCTGATTGAGTGTTTGTGTGTGTCAGTGTTGTGACTTGGGGGTTAGTTGTGGAAATATATGTGTGTCATTGTTGATAACATGGAGCTGAGATGGTGAAGTGTGTGGATCAGTGTTGGTAACATGGAGCTCAGCTGTTTATCGTTGTGTGTCAGCGTTGGTGACGATACCATGGGGCTGAGCTGATGGAGGTTGTGTGTGTCATTGTTGGTGCCATGGAGCTGAGCTGGTGAAGTGTGTCTCAGTGTTGATGAAGACACCATGGGGCTGAGCTGCTGGAGCTTTTGTGTGTCGTTGTTGGTGACACGTTGCTGAACTGGTGAAGTGTGGTGTAAGCGTTGGTGACATGGAGCTGAGCTGGTGAAGTGTGTTGGTGTCAGTGTTGGTGATGGCACCATGAGGCTGAGCTGGTGAACTGTGTTGGTGTCAGTGTTGGTGAGGGCAAAGTGGGATGAGCTGGTGAATTGTGCGTGGGTTAGTGTTGTTGAGGACACTGTGGGGCTTTGCTGGAGAAGTGTGTGTCAGTGTCTATGCCATGTGGTTTTGTTGGTGAAGTGTGTGTGAATGTCTGTGGCATGGGGCTGAGTTGGGGAATTGGGTATGTCAGGGTTGGTTACATGGTGCTGAGCTGGAGAAGTCTGCGTTGTCAGTGTTGGTGGCATAGGGCTGAGCTGGTGAAGTGTGTGTGTGTGTTGGTGGCAAGAAGCTGGGCTGTAGATGTGTACGTGTATCAGTGTTGATTAGTGCAGTCCTGCAGCTCAGTGGTTAGAGCACTCGCTATACAAGTGAGAGACTTGAGTTCAATTCCAGAGGGCGAAACCTTGGGCAAGTTTCCTTACTCCACACAGAGCCTAATAATAATCCCTCCAAAACCAAAAACAATAATAAATTGGTCATTTTCAATCTACGATTGTGTGGGACATTGCTGTGCGCAATTGGCTGCCGCGTTCGCCCACAAATATGCAGTCAATTCACTTTACAGTGTGCTCTGTGAAGCGCTTTAGGACGTCCTCCCGACGTGAAAAGCGCTATATCAAATGCAAGGATTATTATTATTATTGATGACATGGTGCTCAGTAGAGGAAGAATGTGTTGGTGTCATGGGGCTGATTTGGGGATGTGTGTGCATCAGTCTTGGTGAGGACACCGTGGTGATGATCTGGAGATGTGTGTTTTTGTCTCTGCGGGTGGCATGGAGCTGGACTGGGTAAGCGTGAATGCCAGGAAAAACCCGGGAAAGAATGCTAAAGCAAGGCCAGTCACACTGACATCAGTGGGAGAGAAACGTCTGGAGACTATAATCCGGGATAATATAAAATTTCACTCAGTAAAGTATGGGTTAATAAAGGACAGTCAACATTGGTTTATTAAAGACAAATCGGTCCTGAAGAAACCGATAGAGTCTTTTAATGAAGGATTGGAGAGTATGGATGAAGGTTGTGCAGTTGATGTAGTTCATATGGATTCTCAAAAGTGTTTGATAAAGTGCCACATAAGAAATTTGTAAGCAAACTGGAACCCCACGGTATCAAATGCACAGTAGTAGCATTGATACAGAACTGGCTGGGAGACAGAAAACTGAGAGGGGTGTGTACACCGGTGTCCCCCAGGAGTCGCTGTTGGATCCACTGCTGTTTCTGATCTACACAAATAACCTGGACTTTGGTGTAGGAGTATATTTTCCAAATTTCCAGTTGAGACTTAGCTCGGAAAGGTAGCAAACAGTGAGGAGGATCGTAGCATAATGTAAGGGGACACAGACAGACTGGTCAAATGGGCAGACACGTGACGTATACATCTTACTGTGGAGAAATGTGAAGTAATACATTTTGGGAGGAAGAGTGAGGAGGGCAATATAAGATAGATGGTAGAATCTTAAAGGGGGTGAAGGACAAAAGAGACTGGGGTTCATACAAGTAAATCTTTGAAGTTGGCAGGACAGGTATATAATGCTGTTAAGAAAGCATGCAGGATAGCAGGCTTTACAAATAGGGGCATAGTATACAAATGTCAAGAAGTTATGATGAACATTTATTATACAATGGTTAGGCCTCAGCTAGAGATTGTGATGAGTGATGAGCACCACACTTTAGGAAGGATGTCAATGGATTGGAGAGGGTGCAAAGTAGATTTACAGCAGGAGACCAGGAATGAGGGACTTCAGTTATCAGGAGAGGCTACAGAAGCTAGGATTATTCTCATTGGAGCAGATAAGGTTTAGTTGAGACTTAATAGATGTTTACAAAATGATGAAGTGATTTGACAGCTTGAACCAGGAGAAAGAATTTCCACTGGTGGGTGGGTCGGTAACCCGAGGACACCGATTTAAAATAGTTGTTAAAAGAAGCAGCCGGGAGGGAAGGAGAATTTTTTTCGGATCTGGAATACATTGCCTGAAAAGGTGTTGGAAGCCGATTCTAGAGAAGAAGTAGAGAGAAGTAGATAATTATTTGGGGAAGGCAAATTTGCATGGCTATGAGGAGAGAGCGGTGGAATGGTTTTGGTTTGGGCAGCTCTTTTCAAAGAGCCGGCACAGATAAAATCGGCCGAATGGCCTCCTTTTCTACTCTATGATTCTGCGGCTGCTGTATTCACCTACAAAATACAGATTCACTATGATTCGCCGTAAGCGGGGAAGTGTTTTGAGACATCTTACTAACTTGAAAGAAAACAAATGCAAGAAACGTCAGTACATTTACGCCTTACTGCATTTGAGTAAGAAATTTGAATATACTTAATTGCTGAATTTGAACTTGTCATGACGATAGTCTTGAAATTTATTTCATTGTAGGGTAAATGTCAATTGTGAGAAAGTAGGAGAGTCCATTAGAAATGCTAACCTGGTGTTCTGCCTGAGAGATCACGTCTGGATTCTCTGTTAGCCTTGCAACTATTAAAAACGCTCAACACCTGTCGCAAATCTTACAAACTAGGCTGCACATAGCAGCAGTTGAGGGGATTTTGAAACATTGTTGGAAAGAGGAAATATTTTTCTGAAACACAGAACCACGAGAAAACAGATGTCTCAATTAAATGGTCACCATCACCACTACTAAGCACATCTACATCTGGCAGGACTGAAACAGCGACCACATCTGGTGTTGCCCAACTACATTGTGAATCAGTTCCACCACTTTGGGAGATTGGAGTGAGATGGCCTCCACGGAGACTGAACCAAGTGCCAGTGCAGAGGGCAATGGAATGACCCGTGGTGTGGATCAAACCCCCTGCAACAGACCAACAGGTAATAGCTTCCCTTTAACTGATTTCGAGGAAAAATTTAAAGGGATCATAATGAACAAATGTAATGTGTTTATTAAGTACGTTTAAACAAAAGCACGTACATTTATCTCACACACTTTGGAGCCGGAAGATCAGTCAATATTTATTGGGGTTGAGCAACAAGATCAGGGACATGTTGGACGGTTCATGAACCAATCACTGATGATGACAGACCATCCAGACTGGCCCGTGGGCAGGTCTTGTAGTGAAAATGCAGCCAACCTGACACATGGGCAGGGCTTACAGTGACTAATCAGCCTGCCTGGCACATGGTCAGGTCTTGCAGTGATAGATCATTCCTGGGGGATAGTATGCTTCCACATCAGCTCCTACTGAGGTTGCAAACCAAAGCCATTGTGGGTAAAGTGGACACAGTCCACATGTATGATAGACAATTCCACTGCACCGCTTCCTCCTTCTCCTCCAGCTGCAACTCCAAGTCCGCTGATGCCCTGTCAGTTTGTGTGACGGGCATCATGGCATGGATAAGTGCAAACTTCCTGCAGCTCAACGTCGGCAAGATGGAAGCCATACACTTTGGCTCCCGCTAACGACTTCTTTCTTGTGGCTCCGAACTCCTCAAACTTCTCGGTCTCTCCCACAAACACACTCTACCCGTGCAAAAATTAGGTATTAGGTTCTCTCCGTAGCCTTCCTTTCTCCCCCACATCCGTTCCCTGACCAGGACAGTTTGTTTTTCCACCTCTGTCACATCACCCGCCTCTGTTCGTACATCACATCCGCAGCAGACAAAACACTCATCCACGCCTTTGCCACTTCTCGGCTGGACATTTCGAATGCCCTCCCTCCTGGTCTCCTGAGTTCCACCATAAAGAGCATTTAATTAACTCCGTCATCCGGATGCTGAACCACAGAAAAGAGAGGATCCAAATCACTTCAGTCCTTGCCAGACTGCACTGGCTCCCAATTTCCGAAAAGATCGATTTTCAAATCCTCTCTCTCGTTTTCAAATCCCTACATGTCCCTGCACCTCCCTACCCTTCCGACTTGCTCAATCCCCATTCCACCACCTGCTGCCTTGGGAGGATGGGAATTCCAATTCCCGCCATGGGACTTTAACCTATAAACTTTTGAATCTGGTATGAATGTGTTCAACTTAAGAGATCAACTGGAGATGTTCAAAAATAAGAAGGGTTTTGATCGAGTAGAGCGGGAGAAACTCTTTCGACTGGAGTGTAGATCGGTAACCAGGGGACACAGATTGAAGATAATTGGCAAAAGAACCAGCGAGGATTCCTGCAGTGGATTGTCAGGCTGGTCTATGAGGTCAAAATTCTTATGTGTAGCTTGAATCACAACCTTCTGACTCAGGGGTGAGAGTGATACCAACTGAGCCAGGCAGACAGGTGTATGATGTCAGTTACTAAATGTTGTTTTTGGCCAACTGAAGTTTGTTTATTCTGGGCTTTTGAAACAATCAACTTGTTAATATACTCCGAAACATGTTTTGAGGAACAAAAGTAAAATAATGTCTGACTAATGCTTTTATTGGTCGCTAACAGGTACAAATACCTTATTCACTGAGACCCTGGCCCTGTATGATGATTACCAGCTGCACAGACTGACAAAGTTCTACCGGGACAGATTGGAACAGGCTATTGAGGAAGGCGTGGAGGACATCAGCTCAAGGCTCAGACAGAAGGAATGTTTCAGCCCGCAGGAGCACAAAGTAGGTTTGAGACAGACTGCATCATTTTCCTTTCATTTGTTAAAGTCTCAGAAAGTCAGTGCTTGCCTGCACGGCTCAAGTGCTGCTTTTTTCAGAAAATCAACAATAGCAAACAAGCAGCTTATGCAAAAGCATAAGCGAAAGCATTTTATGTTAAAATACAGAACATGCACCATATGTGTGTCGTGGATCAGTACAGAGCAGTGTAAGAGGTGTCTGTATGATCAAAAAACTAAGAACAGAAACTTGCATTTATTTAACGCCCTTCGCGTGGCGAGGAAGTCACAAGGCACTGGACAGTGAAGTTAGAGCACGAGCTGGATTTGGGAAGTGTCGGGGAGGGCGGATGATGAAAGGGTGGTCACAGAGGTAAGCAGTTTGTGGATGGAAGAGGAAGCAAGTCCAGTAAATCCGTCAATGGTGCTGGGTATTGCTGGTCACTGTCACTGTTCATGTTTCACACATTAATACATTAATGCTCACTCTACGCAGAAACTCACTGAGCTCACACACAGTGGGCAGAGGAGACAAAGCTCCAAATTTCTTCTGAACCTGGTGATGGGGAAAGGTTCTGATGCCCGGAGAGTGATGTGGGAATCCTTTGTGAAAATGAGGCCCACTTTGCCCAAACTGAACAAAATCATGACGGAAATACAGCAACAAGGTAATGTGTGGTGTTACTCTGTGCCTCCATTCACATTTTACTGATACACCATCGCTTCAATTTAATAATATGAACTGTATTCAAACAGGTGCCAGTCTAGTGGATGAAGTGACCATTGTCCGAAGTGTATCAGGTGTCTCCAGTGATCTGAAAGGTATGTGACAGGGACAAGATACACAGCAGTCAATCACTTCTGAAATACACAGTTTGGCAGTTTACTATTTACTGATGATATCCAGAAAATACAAATAGGGGAGGGGGGATGTGGGAGGAGGGAGCAAAGATTGGACTGGAGAGAGGAGTATGTTGGGGAGAGGGGTGTATGCTGGGCAGAGGGGATTATGGAGTGGGGAGAGGGGATTATGGAGTGGGGAAGGGAGTTGGGTAGGAGAGCATGGATGGGAGAGGGGAGCATGAAGGAGACAGGTAATCATGCACGGGAGAGGGGAGCATGGAGTGTTCAGGTAAGCTTGCAGGGGAGAGCGGAGCATACAGGGGAGTGGGGAGCCGAGAGGGGAACATGGAGGGGAACACCGGAGAGTAGAAGGGAGCATAGAGGGGCAAAAAGAGCATGGAGGGGACCATTGAGGGGAGTTTGGAGCAGGTAGGGAGCATGGAGGTCAGCATGGAGGGGAGCATGGAGGGGAGCATGGAGGAGAGAGGAGAGGTGAATATGAACGGGAGAGGCGGTATGCAGGGGAGTGGAGAAGGCGAATATAGAAGCGAGACAGTATCATAGAGGCGAGAGGGATTATGGAGGAGAGAGGGGATTATGGATGAAGAGTGTATTATAGAGGGCTGAGGGGCGTACGAAGGGGAGAGGGGCGTACGAAGGGGAGAGGGGCGTACGAAGGGGAGAGGGGCGTACGAAGGGGAGAGGGGCTTACGAAGGGGAGAGGGGCGTACGAAGGGGAGAGGGGCGTACGAAGGGAGAGGGGCGTACGAAGTAGAGAGGGGCGTACGAAGGGGAGAGGGGCGAACGAAGGGGAGAGGGGCGTAGGAAGGGGAGAGGGGCGTAGGAAGGGGAGAGGGGCGTACCGAGGGGAGAGGGGCGTACCGAGGGGAGAGGGGCGTACCGAGGGGAGAGGGTCGTACCGAGGGGAGAGGGTCGTACCGAGGGGAGAGGGGCGTACCGAGGGGAGAGGGGCGTACCGAGGGGAGAGGGGCGTATGGAGGGGAGAGGGGCGTACGTAGGGGAGAGGGGCGTATGGAGGGCAGAGCGGAATATGGATGGAGTGGTCAGCATGGAGGGGCGAGGGGCGTATTGAGGGGCGAGGGGCGTATGGAGGCGAGAGAGGCGTATGGAGGGGAGAGGGACGTATGGAGGGCAGTAGGGCGTATGGAGGGGAGCGGGGCGTATGGAGGGGAGAGGGTCGTACCGAGGGGAGAGGGGCGTACCGAGGGGAGAGGGGCGTACCGAGGGGAGAGGGGCGTACCGAGGGGAGAGGGGCGTACCGAGGGGAGAGGGGCGTACGTAGGGGAGAGGGGCGTATGGAGGGGAGAGGGGCGTATGGAGGGGAGAGGGGCGTACGTAGGGGAGAGGGGCGTACGTAGGGGAGAGGGGCGTATGGAGGGGAGAGGGGCGTATGGAGGGGAGAGGGGCGTATGGAGGGGAGAGGGGCGTATGGAGGGGAGAGGGGCATATGGAGGGGAGAGGGGCATATGGAGGGGAGAGGGGCGTATGGAGGGGAGAGGGGCGTATGGAGGGCAGTAGGGCGTATGGAGGGGAGCGGGGCGTATGGAGGGGAGAGCGGAGTATGGATGGAGTGGTTAGCATGGAGGGGAGAGGGGATTATGGACGGGAGAGCGGAGTGTGGACGGGAGAGCGAAGTGTGGACGGGAGAGCGAAGTGTGGACGGGTAAGGGGAGTATGGCGGAGAGAGCGGAGTATGGCGTGGAGAGCAGTGTATGGAGGGGAGAGCGGTGTATGGAGGAGAGAGCGGTGTATGGAGGGGAGAGGGTGTATTGAGGGGAGAGAGGATTATGGAGGTGAGAGAGGATTATGGAGGTGAGAGGGTAGTTTGGAAGGCAGTGAGGAGCATAGAGGGGAGAGAAAGGTATGGAGGGAATAGGAGAGTATGGAGGGGAGAGGGGTGTGTAGAGGGGATTATGGAGGGGAGAGGGGAGTATGGAGTCGAGACGAGAGTATGGAGGGGGAGGGTAGTATGGAGGCGAGAGGGGAGTATGGAGGGAAGAGGGGAGTATGGAGGGGAGAAAGGAGAATGGTGGGGTGTATGGAGGGGAAAAGTGAACATGGAGGGGAGAAGAGAATATGGAGGGGAGAGATAGGAGGGAGGGATAGTAGGCAGCCGAAGGAAGATGGGAGAAGGGAGATGAGGAGTGAGGGGAATGATCCTTATTTAATTCTTAAATTCTTTCAGCAAATATTACTTTGGAATGATCTTTCCCACAAGAAGTCACACATTCATGATATAATGCCCTGAAAATCTACCATGGTTTGAATGTTCTGACCTGAGTCCAATTCCCGACAGAGGGCGAAACCTTGGGCAAGTTTCCTTACTCCTCACGCCTAATAATAATCCGTCCAAAAAAACAAAAAAACACAATAAATTGGTCATTTTCAATCCATGACTGTTTGTGGGACATGGCTGTGAGCAATTGGCTGCCTCGTTTGGCCACAAATATACAGTCAATTCAGTTTACAGTATATTCTGTGAAGCACTTTGGGACGTCTAGCAGACGTGAAAAGTGTTATATCAAATCAAGGATTATTGCTATTATTATTATTAACAATTTAATTCAGATTGTTTACTCCTTGTTTGTTCAGCTCAGTTTGTGTTCCTCTTGTCTCGGAGTCAGAGTTATGGGTTTCAGTTCACAATATATAAATACGGAAATCAGGGTGGCATGTAGCAAAAACAACGTGTTATAATTGGAGATTTTATTTTTCACATGGACTGGGAGAAGCAGAACACCTCAAGTAGTAACGACGTAAATGGCACTCTGTAAAAGTAGTTTTGTTGTTGTTATTGCGTTCAGTTTTGGGCACCACACCACAAGAAAGATATATTAGAGGGCTGCAGCGCTGATTCACCAGAATGTTATTAGGCCAAAAAGGGTTAAGTTACGAGAAAGGCTGCTTAAACTTGGATTGTATTCCCTCGAGTTTGGAAGATTGAGAGGTGATTTGATGGAGGTTTTTAGGGCGATAAAGGGATTTGATAGGGAAGATGCAAAAAGCTATTTCCTAGGTTGGGGGAATGCAAATCAAGGGAGGATATTCTTACACGTAGAACCAGACCATTTAAGAGTGAAAGTAGGAAGCATTTTTTCCCTCAAAGGGTGTTAGAAATCTGGAACTCTCTCCCCCAAAAGGTCATGGATGCTGGATCCATCCACTCCGTCAAGAAAGAGATTGACAGATTTTTGGTAGGTCGGGGTATTAAAGGATACGGGGAGAAAGCAGGAAATTTGATTTGAAATTCCAGTAAAGATATAGATCAGCCATGATCTAATTAAATGGCGAACAGGCTCGATGGCTGAATGGCCTACTCCTGACCCTATGTTCCTGAACATCAACAGGATATGTTGACACTCCAGTGCCATTCTGGGTTGTGCTGCATTGAAGTCGATGCCGTCATTTGGACATTAAACTGAGGTCCCGTCTGCCTATTCGGGTGGATGTTAAAGATCCAGCGGCACTATTTGAAAACAGAATGGAATTTCTCTCTCCCGGATTCCTGGCCAACAAACCCTCAAATAAATGTAGTCACACAGTTCCCGACTACTTGTGGCTGCTGTCGCTTTTCGCAATGTGGCTGCTGCATCTGCTCAAGAAACACAGTCACTACACTTTAAAGTAATTCGTATGCAGCGCTTTAGAATGCTTTCCTTCTTTCAAAGCCCCTTAACTGAAACTAAGTGTCATTTTTTAATAATGCTAAATAATTCCTCAATTTACTCTCCGATTATTTATTGTTCCACATGAAGCCATTCAGCAATTGCACAAGGAGACGTTAAAGAAACAAAGTGAGAAACTGGTAGTAAATACCATTCTGATAAAGGAGAAGGTGAAGCAGTTTCAGTTGGTTGATCGCTACACAGAGCTAACAATCATTTCTGATGTACGTGAACGGGATCTGGTAGAACATGAGCTGCTGGCGAGAGGCAGAGACCACGAGGAGTGGAGACAGAAGCAGCTCCGGGGAGAGCTGGAAAAAATCCGAATTGATAAACTGTTCCACAGCAGCTTCTCTGGAGGAGGTCCAATTTCCTGGTTGAAAAAATTCTACAAGAGAAGCGGATCTGGCAATTTCACAGGGACTTCCGCAGTAGTGAGTGGAGTGGCAGGGATTGGAAAAACAACCATGGTGCAAAAGATTGTCCATGACTGGGCCACAGGCAAAATCTATCCTCACTTTCACTTTGTTTTTATTTTGAAATTTCGAGACCTAAACACTCGTAACATCAGATTAACACTGAGACAGTTAATCTTGGATGAATATCCGTACCTGAAATATGTTCTGGACGAGCTGTGGAAACACCCAGAGAGATTGCTCTTTATATTTGATGGTTTGGATGAATTCAGGCGAAGCATTGAGTTCGCTGACAGTTGGAGAGAAGCAGAGTCTCAGAGTAGATGCACAGACCCCGGTTTCTGGTGTGACGTGTCTGAAATTGTGTACAGTTTAATACAGAAAAAGCTGCTGCCAGGCTGCTCAGTGCTGGTGACCAGCCGCCCCACTGCATTACAGTTACTGGCAAAGGCTCAGGTCAGTGTCTGGGCTGAAATCCTGGGATTTGTGGGTGAAGAGAGAAGGGAATATTTTCACAAGTTTTTTGAAGATCAGGAGGTGGCGGCTGCTGTTTACAGCCACGTGGAGGAGAACGAGCTCCTGCTCACCATGTGCTACAACCCGTCCTACTGCTGGATCCTCGCTCTGTCTCTGGGTCCCTTCTTTACACGGAAACACAGCAACAAACAGCGAGTTCCCAAGACAGTCACACAACTCTTCTCCTATTATATTTATAACATACTATCACATCACAGTGTCAAGATGGAAAGCCCCCGTGATGTGATGCTGAAGATTGGTGAGATGGCCTTCACTGGAGTCTCCCAGAGAAACATTGTCTTTAATGATGAAGATCTGATCAAATATAACCTCCAGCCTTCCCAGTTCCTCTCTGGCTTTCTCATGGAACTTGTGGAGAGAGAGTCTTCAGAGCACAGTGTGGTCTACACATTCCCGCACCTCACCATCCAGGAGTTTGTAGCCGCACTCGCTCAGTTCCTGTCTCCAAATCCAGGAAATCTGAGGAAACTCCTAAATGAAGCTCACAGGGAGGAGGACGGCCGGTTTGAGATATTCCTGCGCTTTGTTGCTGGTCTCTCCTCCCCACGGGCAGCTCAGCCACTGGAGAAGTTTCTGGGTCCATTTGTCCATCAGACAACCTGCGCGGTGATCGATTGGCTGAAGGAGAAGGTTAAAGCTCAGATCAGAGACACAGACACCGTCACTGGGAAAAGGAAGCTGCTGAACACACTCCATTACCTGTTTGAGTCTCAGAATCAAGCCCTAGCAGAGCAAGCACTGGACTCTGTACAGACACTGACATTTGGTGACTCCTCTCCAGAGAAAGCATTGAGACTGACACCGATAGACTGTGTTGTGCTGTCTCAGGCCATTGGACTGTGTGACACAATAAAACGACTCAATCTGAGGAGTTGCTACATTCAGGAGGAGGGTATTCAGCGTTTGGTTCCTACTCTGCACAAGTGTCAGAAGTTGCAGTAAGTTTACTCTTTTTGTAAACCTCATTCTTATTATTTTTATATCAAACTCAAATTCCAGGACTCTACTGATATTAAGCACCAGCTGATCAATGGGAGAATGGTATCACACAGCAGGAGTTAACAGTGGGTGACACTGTGATGGCCGTCACACACCACAATCCTGCCCTGGGTGATTGAGAGGTGAATGGCTGACATTCACTGCACACCTGACTGCTCCACACCGTGAGCCGTTTGGTGACATTCCCAGTTTGCTGATGTTATTGGGATTGGTTCCTGATTCCCGACTGGAATAGTCATTTTATTGACTGTATTGTAACTTGATCCCAGCGTAGAGATGCCATTCGGTGGTTCCTGGTTATTCATACAGGTGATGGTTTTCCTGAACACAAAGTCTCTGACACACATACATCCTTCTAAACTCTAACCCTCTGAGCTTCCCCCTAGCTCAGCCCCCCAGGACTATCCTGAACCGTGTGGTTAGGCCGCAGGCTTCCTGTGTCCTCTTTTTCGGCAGTAGCACCTCCCCCAGTGCTGTATTTCAGGGCGAACTGACCTCTCCATGGCTTGGCCATCCCATTTATCCAGTGGTAGTCACACGCTATCTCCAGTACAATGTTATAACACTGATACATTATAATTCACCCCAAACACATCTCCCTCAGCCTGACTTCAGTCTGACTGGTGTGGGCTCCCCTGGTCCTGGTGAAGAGTCTCCATTTCCAGCTCCTGAGATCTCACAGCCACAGGGATTCCATTTCCCAGATCTGGAGCTCACAGACTGTGGAGAATGAGACAATAGAAACATAACCAATGGCCTGATCCTGAAGATTACACGCCGGGCTGCAGAAGCCAAGACATTAGCCTCACCCAAACACTGACTGAGGGTTATAGTGCTGCTGGAATAGACCCAGGGTAAACTGTGCTGCTGCCACGTCCAGGCACTGAGGAGATCCCCACTACATGTTGCCCCAGCAGCTCAGCATGTTAAGACGTCTTGTGCAGATAAGCTGCTGTAACAAATGCAAGACTTATCACTATTATCATTGTCATTATTATTATCAGATCCTGTCTCTCACACCAGCTACACTTTGTCCCCACAAACGGTCACTCTCACAAAACACACATTCGCTTCACAGATATATATTCTCGCTTAGTCTCTCCCCCTCTTTTTTTCTCTTTCTGTCTCTCTCTCTATATATATCTCCCACAAAACACACTGCATATCTATCTCTCATTGTATTTCTCTCTTCAGCTGTCATTCGTTCTCATAGTCTGTATCTCATTCTCTCTCATTCTCTCTTTCTGTCTCTTGTTTTCACTCTCAGTCTATCTCTCAATCTCCGTCTCTCACTGCATCTTGTGTTGGATCTCTCACTCTCTCTCTTTCCCACCAAACAGTCATTGCACTTCATAATATATTCGTTGTCTCTCCATCACGCACAGAGTCTCTCGGAGTCTCTTTCTCTCTCTCTCTGAGTCGCTCAATCTCTTTCTCTGTCAATCTCTCTGTCTCCTCCACAAAACACAGGCACCACAGTTAATAATGTATTCTGCCTCTCAGTCTCTCTCTTCACTAACTCTGTCTCGTTTTCTTTCTTTTGCAGTTATTCTCTCTCTCCTAGTCTCTCTATTTCTCACTCAGTCTCTCTGTCTCTCACACAAAACGCACATTCACTACACATTTGTTTTTCTCTTTCAGTCTCTGAAAGTATGAGAGACTGCGAGAGAGAGTGACTTCGAGAGAGAAAGAGACGGAGAGAGGGAGACAGAGACTGTCAGAATTAGACTGACACAGAGAGAGAGGTTGGCAGAAAGAGATACAGAAAGAGAGAGACGGAGAAGCACTGAGAGAGGGGAGATCGAGAGAAGAGAATAAGAAAACGACTGAGTGAGAGAAAGTTAAGCGATGATACCGAGCCAGAGAGACTGAGACAGAAAGGAGAGGCATTGCAAGAGAGCGACTGGGAGAGAGAGACTGAGAAACGAACGGACACTGAGAGAGAGAAACTGAGTGAGAGAAAGAGAAAGCAAAGGACAGAGAGAGACGGACTGAGAGAAAGAGAGAGAAAGACTGAGAGGGAGTGACTACGAGAGAGAGAGAGAAAGAGACTGGGAGAGATATACAGAGAGAGAGAGAGACTGCGGTGAAAATATATTACAAACTGTATTGACTGTGTTTTGTGGGAAAGACAGTGAGGCAGATTGTGAGAGAGAGATTGAGTGAGATACTGAGTGAGAAAGACAGAGAGGGAAAGACAGAAAGAGAAAGACTGAGAGAGAAAGAGACTGATGGCGAGACTAAGATAAACAGAGAGAGACTGTGAGAGGAAATAAAATTTGTAGCGACTGTGTGTTTTGTGGGAGAGATTCAGCGAGAGAATGCGAGAGATACTGAGAGAGATTGAGAGAGAGACTGAATGGGAGAAAGACAGTGACAGATGGAGAGAGAGTCTGAGAGATGGAGAGAGAGAGATACAGACATAGGGAGAGATAGAAAAGAGACAGAGATAGACAGGGAAAGAGACTGAAAGAGAGTGAGATTGAGAAAGAAAGAGAGACACGTGGCTGCTGCATCTGCCCAACAAACACAGTCACCACACTTTAAAGTAACTTGTATGCAGCGCTTTGGAATGCACTCCTTCTTTCAAAGCCCCTTAACTGAAACTAAATGGCATTATTCAATAATGCTAAATAATTCCTCAATTTACTCTCCGATTGGTTATTGTTCCACCTGAAGCCGTTCAGCAACTGCACAAGGAGACGTTACAGAAACAAAGTGAGAAACTGGTAGTAAATACCATCCTGATAAAGGAGAAGGTGAAGCAGTTTCAGTTGGTTGATCGCTACACAGAGCTAACAATCATTTCTGATGTACGTGATCGGGATCTGGTAGAACATGAGCTGCTGGTGAGAGGCAGAGACCACGAGGAATGGAGACAGAAGCAACTCCGGGGAGAGCTGGAAAAAATCCGAACTGATAAACTTTTCCACAGCAGCTTCTCTAGAGGAGGACTATTTTCCCGGATGAAAAAATTCTACAAAAGAAGTAGCTCTGGCACTTTCACAGGCACTTCTGCAGTAGTGAGTGGAGTGGCTGGGATTGGAAAAACAACCATGGTGCAAAAGATTGTCCATGACTGGGCCACAGGAAAAATCTATCCTCACTTCCACTTTGTTTTTATTTTGAAATTTCGAGACCTAAACACTCGTAACATCAGATTAACACTGAGACAGTTAATCTTGGATGAATATCCGTACCTGAAATATGTTCTGGACGAGCTGTGGAAACACCCAGAGAGATTGCTCTTTATATTTGATGGTTTGGATGAATTCAGGGGAAGCATTGAGTTCGCTGACAGTTGGAGAGAAGCAGAGTCTCAGAGCAGATGCACAGACCCCGGTTTCTGGTGTGACGTGTCTGAAATTGTGTACAGTTTAATACAGAAAAAGCTGCTGCCAGGCTGCTCAGTGCTGGTGACCAGCCGCCCCACTGCATTACAGTTACTGGCAAAGGCTCAGGTCAGTGTCTGGGCTGAAATCCTGGGATTTGTGGGTGAAGAGAGAAGGGAATATTTTCACAAGTTTTTTGAAGATCAGGAGGTGGCGGCTGCTGTTTACAGCCACGTGGAGGAGAACGAGCTCCTGTTCACCATGTGCTACAACCCGTCCTACTGCTGGATCCTCGCTCTGTCTCTGGGTCCCTTCTTTACACGGAAACACAGCAACAAACAGCGAGTTCCCAAGACAGTCACACAACTCTTCTCCTATTATATTTATAACATACTATCACATCACAGTGTCAAGATGGAAAGCCCCCGTGATGTGATGCTGAAGATTGGTGAGATGGCCTTCACTGGAGTCTCCCAGAGAAACATTGTCTTTAATGATGAAGATCTGATCAAATATAACCTCCAGCCTTCCCAGTTCCTCTCTGGCTTTCTCATGGAACTTGTGGAGAGAGAGTCTTCAGAGCACAGCGTGGTCTACACATTCCCGCACCTCACCATCCAGGAGTTTGTAGCCGCACTCGCTCAGTTCCTGTCTCCAAATCCAGGAAATCTGAGGAAACTCCTAAATGAAGCTCACAGGGAGGAGGACGGCCGGTTTGAGATATTCCTGCACTTTGTTGCTGGTCTCTCCTCCCCACGGGCAGCTCAGCCACTGGAGAAGTTTCTGGGGCCATTTGTCCATCAGACAACCTGCGCGGTGATCGATTGGCTGAAGGAGAAGGTTAAAGCTCAGATCAGAGACACAGACACCGTCACTGGGAAAAGGAAGCTGCTGAACACACTCCACTACCTGTTTGAGTCTCAGAATCAAGCCCTGGCACAGCTCACACTGGGCTCTGTACACACACTGACATTTGGTGACTTCTCTTCAGAGAAAGCATTGAGACTGACACCGATAGACTGTGTTGTGGTGTCTCAGGCCATTGGACTGTGTGACACAATAAAACGACTCAATCTGAGGAGTTGCTACATTCAGGAGGAGGGTATTCAGCGTTTGGTTCCTACTCTGCACAAGTGTCAGAAGTTGCAGTAAGTTTACTCTTTTTGTAAACCTCATTCTTATTATTTTTATATCAAACTCAAATTCCAGGACTCTACTGATATTAAGCACCAGCTGATCAATGGGAGAATGGTATCACACAGCAGGAGTTAACAGTGGGTGACACTGTGATGGCCGTCACACACCACAATCCTGCCCTGGGTGATTGAGAGGTGAATGGCTGACATTCACTGCACACCTGACTGCTCCACACCGTGAGCCGTTTGGTGACATTCCCAGATTGCTGATGTTATTGGGATTGGTTCCTGATTCCCGACTGGAATAGTCACTTTATTGACTGTATTGTAACTTGATCCCAGGTCAGACAGACCAGAGCTTACGTAGAGATGCAATTCGGTGGTTCCTGGTTTTTCATACAGGTGATGGTTTTCCTGAACACAAAGTCTCTGACACACATACATCCTTCTAAACTCTAACCCTCTGAGCTTCCCCCCAGCTCAGCCCCCCAGGACTATCCTGAACCGTGTGGTTAGGCCGCAGGCTTCTTGTGTCCTCTTTTTCGGCAGTAGTACCTCCCCCAGTGCTGTATTTCAGGGCGAACTAACCTCTCCATGGCTTGGCCATCCCATTTATCCACTGGTAGTCACATGCTATCTCCAGTACAATGTTATAACACTGATACATTATAATTCACCCCAAACACATCTCCCTCAGCCTGACTTCAGTCTGACTGGTGTGGGCTCCCCTGGTCCTGGTGAAGAGTCTCCATTTCCAGCTCCTGAGATCTCACAGCCACAGTGATTCCATTTCCCAGATCTGCAGCTCACAGTCTGTGGAGAATGAGAGAATAGAAACGGTTACAATGCTGCTGGAATAGACTCAGCGTAAATTGTGCTGCTGCCACGTCCAGGCACTGAGGAGATCCCCACTACATGTTGCCCCAGCAGCTCAGCATGTTAAGACGTCTTGTGCAGATAAGCTGCTGTAACAAATGCAAGACTTATCATTATTATCATTGTCATTATTATTATCAGATCCTGTCTCTCACACCAGCTACACTTTGTCCCCACAAACGGTCACTCTCACAAAACACACATTCGCTTCACAGATATATATTCTCGCTTAGTCTCTCCCCCTCTTTTTTTCTCTCTCTGTCTCTCTCTCTATATATATCTCCCACAAAACACACTGCATATCTATCTCTCATTGCATTTCTCTCTTCAGCTGTCATTCGTTCTCATAGTCTCTATCTCATTCACTCTCATCCTCTCTTGTTTTCACTCTCAGTCTATCTCTCAATCTCCGTCTCTCACTGCATCTTGTGTTGGATCTCTCACTCTCTCTCTTTCCCAGCAAACACAGTCACTGCACTTCATAATATATTCGTTGTCTGTGTGTCTCTCCATCACGCACAGAGGCTCTCTGATTCTCTCTCTCTCTCTGAGTCGCTCACTCTGTTTCTCTGTCAATCTCTCTGTCTCCTCCACAAAACACAGGCACCACAGTTAATAATATATTCTGCCTCTCAGTCTCTCTCTTCACTAACTCTGTCTCGTTTTCTTTCTTTTGCAGTTATTCTCTCTCTCCTAGTCTCTCTATTTCTCACTCAGTCTCTCTGTCTCTCACACAAAACGCCCATTCACTACACATTTGTTTTTCTCTTTCAGTCTCAGAAAGTATGAAAGACTGCGAGAGAGAGTGACTTCGAGAGAGAAAGAGACGGAGAGAGGGAGACAGAGACTGTCAGAATTAGACTGACACAGAGAGAGAGGTTGGCAGAAAGAGATACAGAAAGAGAGAGACAGAGAAGCACTGAGAGAGGGAGATCGAGAGAAAGAGAATAAGAGAACGACTGAGTGAGAGAAAGTTAGAGCGAGATACCGAGCGAGAGAGACTGAGACAGAAAGGGAGAGGCATTGCAAGAGAGCGACTGGCAGAGAGAGACTGAGAAACGAACGGACACTGAGAGAGAGAAACTGAGAGAGAGAAAGAGAAAGCAAAGGACAGAAAGAGATGGACTGAGAGAAAGAGAGAGAAAGACTGAGAGGAAGTGACTACGAGAGAGAGAGAGAAAAAGAGACTGGGAGAGATATACACAGAGAGAGAGAGACTGCGGAGAAAATATATTACAAACTGTATTGACTGTGTGTTTTGTGGGAAAGACAGTGAGGCAGACTGTGAGAGAGAGATTGAATGAGATACTGAGTGAGAAAGACAGAGAGGGAAAGACAGAAAGAGAAAGACTGAGAGAGAAAGAGACTGATGGTGAGACTAAGAGATAAACAGACTGAGAGAAAGGGAGAGAGACTGTGAGAGGAAATAAAACTTGTAGCGACTGTGTGTTTTGTGGGAGAGATTCAGCGAGAGAATGCGAGAGATACTGAGAGAGATTGAGAGAGAGACTGAATGAGAGAAAGACAGTGACAGATGGAGAGAGAGTCTGAGAGATGGAGAGAGAGAGATACAGACACAGGGAGAGATAGAAAAAGACAGAGATAGACAGGGAAAGAGACTGAAAGAGAGTGAGATTGAGAAAGAAAGAGAGCAACAGCCAGACAGACAGACAGACAGACAGACAGAAATAGAGGCAGAAATAGATATTGAGAAATAGATGGCGAGGCAGTGAGAGAGAGGAAGAATGGGAGACACAGAGCGAGAGCATTAGGGAGAGAATGAGAGAGAGACTGAGTGAGAGAAAGATAGAGCAAGGGACAGATAGAGAGAGTGAGAGTGAGAGAGTGAGCCTGGCAGAGAGAGACTGGGAGAGAAAGAGAAAGCCACAGACAGAAAGAAAGACTGAGACAGAGTGACGACGAGAAAGAGAACAACAACAGATAGACAGAAAGAGAGAGAGACTGAGAGAAACTGTCCAGAAAATACATTACAAAATGTAGTGATGTGTGTTTTGCGGAAAAGACAGAAAGAGAGACTGGGAGAGAAAGAGACTGAAAGAGACTGTAAGAGAAAGAGAGAGTGAGACTGGGAGAGAAAGACTGATAGAGAGACTGAGAGAAAGAGACGATAGAGAGACTGAGACAGTGACAGAATGAGATAGGTATAGAGAGAGAGAGATTGTGAGAGGAAATATAACATGTCGTGACTGTGTTTTCTGGGAGAGACAAATCGAGAGATTTGGGGAATGACAGAGTGGAAGACTGAATGAGAGAAAGACGGAGTTAGAGTCAGAGCGACATTGAATGGGAGAGAGAGAGACTGTGACAGAGAATAAATTGTGTATTTTAATGACTGTTTTGTGGATGAGACAGAGACTGAGAGAGCGAGACAGAGAGAGTGACAGAGAGAGAGAGAGAGAGAGAGAGAGACTGACAGATAGGGTGACAGAGAGAGAGTCAGATAGAGAGTCTGAGAGGGACTGAGAGAGAGCGTCTGAGTGAGAGAAAAGTGAGAGACAGAGAGACTGAGAGAGAGAGAGCGAGAGAGAGAGAGACAAATGGACACACTGAGAGGGAGAGAAAGTGAAAGCAAAGAGAAAGAGAGAAATAGACTGAGATAGAGAAGATGATTGTGAGAGAGAGACAGATAGAGAAAATATATTATAAACTGTCTGTTCTGTGGGAAAGACTCAGAGAGAGACTAAGACAAAAAGAGACTGAGAGAGACAGAGAGAGTGAGAGAGAGACTGAGAGAAAGCGAGAGATAGAATGTGAGACGAAATATAACGTGTAGTACTGTGTGTTTGTGAGAGACACAGAGAGAGATGCCGTGAGAGAGACTGAGACAAAAAAAAATATTATAAGGTGCAGTGACGGTTTTGTGGGAGAGACAGAATGAGAAAATGTGAGAGTGACTGTGAGATAGACGGGGATTGAGAATGTAAGAGGGTGACAAAGAGAGACAGAGACAGAAAGAGACTGAGAGAGTGGCTACTGAGAGAAAGACAGTGAGAGACAGAGTGAGCGACTGAGAGAGAAAGAGAGAGAGACAGGGTGAGTGTAAATATATTATAAAGTGTAGTGACTTTGTTCTGTGCGAGACATAGAGAGAGACTGAGAGAAAGAGAGAAACAGATAGAGAGAGAACCACAGAGAGAGAGAGAGACTCAGAGGGAGACTGAGAGAGGGTATGAAAGTGACTGTGAAAGAAAATATCTTATAACGTGTGGCGACTGTGTTTTGTGGGAGAGACAGAGAAGGAATCCGAGAGAGACTGAGTTAGATAGAGAGATAGAGACTGGGTGAGAGAGAGAGAGACACAGACAGACAGACAGACAGACAGACAGACAGACAGACAGGGAGAGAGGGAGAGAGGGACTGAGAGAGAGAGAGAGAGAGAGAGAGAGAGACTGATAGAGAGAGAGAGAGAGAGAGAGAGGGGAGGGGGGAGAGAGAGAGACAGAGAGAGAGAGAGAGAGAGTGAAATGGAGAGAGAATATATTATAATGTGCATTGACTGTATGTTTTGTCGGTGAGACAGAGAGACAGAGAACAGAGATAGTGACTGAAAGATTGACTGAGTGACACACAGAGAGAGAAAAAAAAATTGATAGCGAAACAGAAAGAGATGCTGATAGACACATATAGATCGAGAGAGAGGGGGAGAGAGTGAGAGAGAGAGAGACTGAGAGAAAATATGTTTTCAACTGTAGCGAAGGTGTTTTTTGAGGGGGAAACTGATACAAAGTGACTGAGAGAGAGAGAGAGATTGGGAGAAACTGCGGGAGAGAGAGACTGTGGGACACCCTCGGAGAGCCCGAGAGATAGACTGAGAAAGGTGAGAGAGATTGTGAGATAGACTGAGAGAAAGAGAGAGATTGAGAGAGAAAGCGACTCAGAAACACAGAGTGAGAGAGAGACTGGGGACAGCTCAGAGAGCCTGAGAGGTAGAAACTGCGACAGTGAGGGAGGGAGCGTGAGAGAGAGAGAGAGAGAGAGAGAGAGAGAGACAATGAGCGAGAGAGTGAAGGATTGTGAGAGAGAGACTGAGAGAAATAGAGAGATTGTGAGAGAGAATATGTTATAATGTGTTGTAACTGTGTTTTGTGGGAGACGCAGAGAAAGAACCTTAGAGAGAGAGACAAAGTGAAAAACATAGAAAGAGACTGAGAGAGAGATAGAGAGATGGTCAAATAGAATGTATTGTCAAACGTAGTGACTGTTTTGTGGGGGAGACAGAGAGAGAATCAGAGATATATATAGAGAGAGAGTCTGTGATGTGGGTGCACATGTTTCTGTGTTTCTGACCTTCTATAAGGCGCTATAAATGGAATATTGTTGTTGACCCTGGTCCCAGCGCCTTGGGAAAGGCTCCGGTATATACACGGCAATGTGTATTGTGTTGTTACACTAGATTCCCTGTGTTTGTGTCCCTGTGTCCAGGTTGGTGGACAATAATCTGGGAAATTGTGGAGTGAAACGACTGTGTGAGGCTCTGAGGAACCTGGAGTGTAAAATACAGAGTCTGGAGTAAGTATCGCACTGTGTCTCCAGAGTCTGAATGTGTTTATTGTGACTGTCTGATCAGTGCGGCTGAATATTGTGACAGGAATCGGTGTGACAGTGTGAGGCCAAAAGCCATCGTTTACATCAAACTATCAACAGTGTTAAGATGTGTCTGTGTGTGAATGAATGTGTTTGTCTCTGTGTTGTGTGAGTGTGTGTCTGTCTGTTGTGAGAAACATTTCCAATTCTCTCTAACAATTTTACAATGACTCGATTCCAGCTCACCAACTGGATGAGTTAAGTTACTTTGTTCAGGTCAAAACAGCAGGAAATATACAAATAAATGAAACAATAAAATAACACACAAGAAACAAAACGGTACCGACCGGATTCCTGTTACAGCCCTGGTCGTGTCCCGAACTGCTCCGCTACCGTTCCCGAGAGGTATCTAACACACATTTGTTTGAAGACAACTTAATAACTCCAGACAAAGCTGTCTTCTTTAAGAAAAACAACTCCTTATACGGTTATATCCATAATATATTTCAATTCTCCCTTTAACCACATTGTATTCTCTCCTGATCAGTCCCTCCGTCCAGTGCGTAAGTGTGAACAGACTTTCTGTGTCCCTGTACGTCCTGACCTTATATTGTCATTGTTTTGTGCTCTGCCTTCAGTTACTGAGCTTTGCCGCCTTTGCACTTCTATTTTATATCCTTAAACCACACTTTAACATTATACCATGAAAACACTCTGTGTATGTCTTTGTGTGTGTGTGTCAGGACATGTGATTTAGTCGGTGTGTGTGTGTGTTGTGTGTGTCTGTTTGGGTATCTGTGTGTTGTGCCTGTTTCTGTGTATGAATCTGAGTGTTTTGGGGACTTTGTTTGTGTGTTTTTGAGTGAGCTTCTGTGTTTTTCTTGTGAATGCGCCATTCAGTGTGTGTTTGTTTCTGTGACTCTGTGTGTGTAGCTGTGCCTGTCTGTTTGTTTGTGTGTATGTTTGTGTATATGTTTGTCTTTCTGATTGTGTGTGCATTTGTGAGTGTTTGTGTGTGTGTGTCAGCGCCTTGGGACGTCCTCCCGACGTGAAAGGCGCTATACAAATATTGTTTTTGTTGTTGTGTGGGTTTGCGTATGTTCCTGTGAGTGTGTGCGATTGTGTCTGTGTTTGTGTGTGTGTTCCCAACTCTTCCCTTCACAGCTGCAGATCACCCAAACCACTGAAGCTCCTGTGCTCACACACACCAGGCTCCCCAACACTACGACCCTCGCCCGACACCATCGCTCTCACACTCGCCCGACCCCATCGCTCCCACCATCGCCCGACCCCATCACTCCCACCCTCGCCCGACACCATCAGTCGTACCCTCGTCCGACACTATCACACCCGACCCCCCACCACTCGTCCAAGTCTCTCCATCGTCCAGAAGATCGAGTTCAAGATCCTCGTCCTCACGTTTAAGGCCATCCATGGCCTCGCCCTCTCCTCCACTCTCTGACCTGCTGACTCCCTACCAACCTGCCCGCTCCCTCCGTCCAGTGGGCTCCGGGCTGCTCCGTGTCTCCCGCCCGACCCGCCCTCCCATCGGTGGCCGGGCTTTCTGCCTCTCTGACCCCACATTCTCGAACTCCCTCCCATGGATGCTTCCCCTCACTTGCTCCCTTGCCTCCTTCAAGGCCGGTCTCAAGACCCTTCTCTTCTACCGTGCCTTTGATCTCCCTCACACCTCTCTGCCTTCCCCCAGCCCTTCCCCACTTCTCCCCCATGCTCAGGCCCCAACCCCCGACTCTTCAGCGCTTTGGGTAATCTTCCGGACGTGTAATTGTCATTTTGTTGATGTTGTTGTGCATTTGTGTTTGTGTGCGAGTAAGTGTGTATGTGTGTTTTTGGGTGTGTCTGTGTGTTTGAGAGTTTGTATGTGTATTTATGTGTGTGTTTTTGTGTTTGTTTGCTTGAGTATGCTCGCGTGTGTGTTTGTGTGAATGTACGTTTTTCTTTGTGTGTGCATTTGTGTGTTTGATTGTGTGTTTGATTGTGTGTATGTGTGTACGTGTATTGATGTGAGTGTGTGTTTTTGTGTTTTTTATGTTTTTGTATGCTTGCGTGTGGGTGCTTGCGCGTGTGTGATTTTGTGTGCATGAGTTGGTGAGGTTTATGTGAATGTTTGTGTGTGTTTCTGTGTGTGCTTGTGTGTGTGTGTGTGTTTTTGTGTATGTATATTTGCTTCTGTTTGTGTGTTTGTTTGTGTGTGTCTGTGTATGTGTATTTATGTGTGTTTCTATTTGATTTTGCGTTTCTGTTTGTGTTTAAGTGCTTTTGAGTGTGTCTCTACATGTGTTTCCATGTGTGTGTGATCGTGTCTGTTATGTTTGTTTGAGTTTACATGTGTGTGCGTGTTTGTGAGTTTGTTTTTGGGTGTGTTTGTGTGTTTCTGAGTGTATGTTTGTGCGATTGTTTGTGTGTATGTTTATGCATGCTTGTGTATGTGTGTGAATTTGTGCTTTTGTGCTTTTTTCTGTGTATGTGTGTTTTTTTGTGTGAGATTTTGCGTGTTTGTTTCTGTGTGTTTCTGTCTGTGCGCGATTGTGTGCGTTTGTGTATCGCTGTGTTTATTTGTATGTGTTTGTGTGAGTAAGTTTGTGTGTCTGTGATTGTGTTTCTGTTTGTGCGTTTGTGTGAGTGCATTGGTGTGGGTGTGTGTCTGTGCGTGTAATTTTATGTGTGTATTTGTGTGCGTGTGTTTGTGTGCATGTGTGTGTATGTCTTTTTGTGCGTTTATGTGTGTATGTGTGTCTGTGTGTGTGTGTCTGTGTGTGCGTATGTGTGTTTCTGTCTCTGTGGGTGCATTTTTTTCTGTCGGTCATGTGTTTGTATGTGTATTTATGTGTGTGTAATTGTGTGTGATTTTGATCATTATTTTGTGTGTGCTTGTGTGAATTTGTGCGTGTGTGTGGTTGCGTGAGAGTGTTTGTGTTTTCATGTCTGTGTGTATGTATTTATATGTGGGTCATGTGTTTGTTTGTGTGTTTATGTGTTTTTATGTGTGCGTGTTTTTGCGTTTCTGTGTGTGTCTATCTGCGTTTGTCTATGTGTGTTTGTGTGCATGTCTGTGAGTGTGTGTATTTGGCTGTGGGACATGTGTTTGTGTGCATATTTGTGTATTTATGTGTGTGTTTGTGCGTGATTTTGTTTATGTTTGTATGTGTGCGTGTGATTGTTTGTGTGCTTGTGTGTATGCGTCTGCGATTTTGTGTGCATGAGTTTGTGTGTGTTTGTGCATGTTTGTGGGTTTCTGGTTTGATGTGTGTGTATATTTGCACGTTTGTTTGTTTGTGTATCTGTGGATGTGTATACATGTATGCGTGTTTGTATGTGATTTTGTGTGCTTGTGTATTTATTTTCTGTTTTTATGTGTGTTTATATGTTTGTGTTTGTGTGTGCTGTTTGTTTGTGTGTACATGTGCGTGCGTGTTTGTGAGTTTGTTTTTGTTTATGCTTATTTGCTTGTGTATTTCTGTGTGTGTGTATTTATGTTTGTTTGTCTGTATGTTTGTGTATGTATGTTTGTTTGTGTTTATTTCTGTGTTTATGTGTGTTTAAGGATGTGCGTTTGCATATGGTTATGTGTGCGTTTGCGTGCGTGTATGTCAGTATTTATTTGTGTGTGTTTCTCTGAGTGTGGGGGATTGTGTGCGTTCGTGTGTCTGTGTATTTGTTTGTGTGTTTCTGTGTGTGTTTTCGGACGTATGTGTTTGCGTGGGTGCGTTTGTGTGTGTGTGCGTTTATTTATGTGCATGACTGTGTATGTTTGTTTCTATACGTATGTGTATATTTCAGTGTGGCTGTGTGTGTGTCTATGTGTGCGCGTCTGCGTGTGTTTGGGTGTCTGTTTTTGTGTATCTGTATGTGGGTCATGTGTTGATATGTGTGTGTGTGTGTATAAGAGTATATCGATGGCTGCGTGTCTGTGTTGGTGTGTATCCTGGTGTGCTTGTGTGTGTGTGTATGTGTGCCACTCCTACAACCTGTCCGGCACTCAACAAACTGTGAGTGACAGTGGGTTACACACATTGTGTTTACTCTGATCCCTGTTATGTCTCTGTGTCTCTGATCTCCAGGTTGGACAGTAACAATCTGACAGCTGATTGTACCGAGGATCTGACCTCCGCTCTCAGCACAAACCACTCACTGACGGAGCTGATCCTGAATAATAATAATCTGGGAGATTGTGGAGTGAAGCGACTGTGTGAGGCTCTGAGGAACCCGGAGTGTAAAATACAGAAACTGTGGTAAGTTACGCACTGTGTCTCCAGAGTCTGAATGACTCCAATATCTCAATGTGTTTATTGTGACTGTCTGATCAGTGCGGCTGTATATTGTGACAGGAATCGGTGTGGCAGTGTGAGGCCACAAACTATCGTTTACATCAAACTCTCAACATGTATTAATGTGTGTCTGTGTGTGTGTCTGTATGTGTATCTTGTGTGTGTCTGTTTGTGTGTCTGTGTTTGCGTGTGTTTGTGATTCTGTGTGTGTGCTTGTTTGCATTTGTGACTGTTTTTGTGAGTGTCTGTGTGTGATTGCATGTGTATTTGTGATTATCTCTGTTTGAATCTGTGTTTGTTTGTAGGTTTGGTTGTGTTTGTGTGTGTGTTGTGTGTGCATTGGTGAATGTTTGTGTGAATGTGTGCACGATTGTGTGTTTGTATGTGTATATCTATTTGTGGATGTGTATTTATATGTATGTTTGTTTGTGTTATTTTGTGTATGTGTGTGTTTGTGTGTATGTTTGTGTATGTGCGTTTGTGTGTGTTCTTGCGTGTGTCATTGCCTGTTTGTGAGTGTTTGTTTGTGATCACTTGTGTTTCAGTGTATGTTTCTGTGTATGTATTTGTTTGTTGTGGATGTGTGTGTTTATTGTGCTTCTTTGAGTGTTTCTTTGTTTGTTTATGCGTAAGTGTGTTTGTGCACGCATGTTTGTGTGTGTGTATATTTATGCTTGTTTGTTTGTGTTTATGTGCATCT